CCTTACATACTGCAAAATTAGTTAGAAAATTTGTGAATATATTTCTTTGTCAATCTACTTAAAATTGGACGCTTGAATCACTAATTGTTGCAAGCTATCAATTGATTACGTTGCCTGAGGCTCGTGAAATTCATTAATTGTTACTTCGTCTGCGCGAGTAGTGATACTCCAGTATTTGATAAAGGAAAAGAGGGGATGGTATGCTTTTGAAAGAGAGTGAAATTGAACTTCTATTATGTGGATAATACATTTAGAACGAAAGTGTATGAATTTTTGCCAAATTTTTCATTTCTTGCTGAATACTAAAGCGCTCTACCTTTTAAAACAAAAAACGATAGAATGTAATAGTAAATTAATTTCAAAAGTTAAAAAAATTTCGTAATGTTATAAACACAAATATGTTAATAATAACGCTATATTTGTAAAAAAAAAAAAACGCAAACTTTCGTCGCGTTTTCTGCGCGATACGTTAACGCGGATCTTGCGTGCACCCCGTTTTACCTGCATAATTTATATTAAATAACCAAAAGTGCGGAACGCACATGTCGGAAGATCGCAGACACCTCTTAGTCGTGCATCTTCCCATAAGTACGCGTAAGTCTGCCATAAAGTCCTTGCATAAGATATCAGTTTCTCGCAGGTGTCGTCGAACGCTCCATTCTCCGGCAAACTACAAACTCGCGGCGTGTCCCAAAGTTCGTCCGCGAGATACCGCGTCCGCTACAAGAGCGTGTTTAATAACATTCGTCCTATTCTCGCGTACGCTTGTAAACCGTTCTATCTTTTTCCCTCTCTCTCTATCTCTTTCTCTTCTCTCTCTCTCTCTCTCTCTCTCTCTCTCTCTCTCTATCTATCTGTATCTCTTTCGTATTGATCGCGACTGCGCGGCAATACATAGCAGACCGTAACGCACTCTTGATTGTTTGAGAAAACGCGTTTTTCATTGTTTAAGAAGCGTTAATTCGATTACAAGCTATTAAAGCTGATTTGAATGGCTGGTAATTTGCTTAGTTTCTTTGTTCAATTCTCATCCGCACGAGCGAGGTCCAATAAATGCAGATACGAGTCATTGATATAATGTTAATTAGTATTTAGCGACAGAGAAATGCTGCATGTGTAAGCAAATTAAATTTGGAAAGTGTAAAACAATCGAACGAGCCTCTCGCTGAATATTAATTTATGCAAATGTTCGCTTTACAAAAATATGTTAATCGGTTAATTGTATCGAATTTGTAATGCAACACGTATGGAGAGACGAGATAAAACCGGTAAAAAGTGTACAGTTTTTTTTACTAATGACAAACAGTCATAAAATTGAAGATCAAATTGTATAAGTACACTACAATTGTAAATTCCATTGAAAAACAAGATCGTTATCAAATTTGTGAAATCTCTGTGTATAAAGATAATTTCATCTCATAATTGCATAAGCATCGCGAGACACGTATATTAAAGACAGTTTACGAGAAATAACCGTGGGATAACGCTTTCTTTAAATTTATGACGAACGTAATATCAAAGCTAATAGCCGACGTCATTTCTCGGTTGTAACTCTCATCTGGATGACTTTGGCAAAATGTTATCAAACTTTCGCAGACAAATTTATGAAGATATCTCTTGTTAAAGCGGAGATCTTATCGTATGTTGCGTGTAGATAATGCGCTGCTTGGAATGCAAATTAATTAAATGCAAATTTGCAGAATGGTATGACTTCAAAAATGATATAAATATCGATATAGTAAACAAAACTAAATAGAATTAAAAGAAAAAGTTGGAAATTTGGAAAGATATACAGTTGGTCGACAGAATTATTGCGAATTTCCCGCTCTGTAATCATTCATCTTGCTGCATTGGTGCAAGCAGTCCTTTGTTGCAAGCTCCGTCTGCGGGCTCACGTAGCAGCTGGAGCCTTGCAATAAGGAAGGTTACGTGGCATAATCGAAACTATGCTTCTTCTGAGGTAGACGCTCTTGAGCATGCTAGGAATGCCTCAGGAAAACAACCACAAAGTTATTAATCATTTCTATCGATGCGCGATTCTTATCTCGAGACTGGCCAATGTTCGAAGATCTTCCTTTGCATTTCGTTAAATAAAACGGAATTTATATACATTGTTTCTCAAATATTTCTTCAACAATTACGTTGTTGCGCGCTGCAACGTGTCAATACAGTCGTGAATTAAATCATAAAATAAAGAGGCAATTTCTTATAGAATTCTTTAAATCTAAAAAAAAAAAGATTTGCAAAAAATGTTATATATTGACTCAAAGAAAATCGTAAGTTGATTCCACGAACGGCATACGCGCAATTTCCTTTCGAAGAAGGAAAAGTAATGCATTCCAGAGTAGTCTTCCACGAAGACTTCTAATAGAAATTTTTAGTAGACGTAGATCCAGATGATTTCCCGGAGCAACCGAGCGCAACATTGATTGTAGTTCATGATGCGGGAATATCGAGATGTATTTACATTCATGTTTTTTTTTCCGTAAGTGCAAAACGTGATCAGATAAACAAAATTCACGACTAAACGGCGCGTGTTAAACGAGTGGCGACATTTTTCTTTTTTCAATCACACGGAAAATTCGATTCGCGTGTACAAACAGGCATGCAAAGCACCGGGCATTCTGCGTCATTATTTTGACATAAACGAGCGCGCACGAGTTGCGAACAAAAAGAAATGACGCGCTCGAATTTATCGGCGAGGCGCATAAACGACAGTTGCAGCGCACGGGCCTTTATTCGCTCTCAATGGGCGAAAACTGTTCTTATCGGACGTGTCAACGGCACGTTCCACGCGAAACCCGGTCCACGCGTGCCGCATCGACTGCTCGCGTGAATTTCTCCAACTTTCTCGTAAAGCTACATAGTTTGTAAAATCCGCCGCTGAAAAGCGATTGTTACGCGAATTATTGACTGTATTAGTTGCACGTCAATGTGATAATGTTATCCCGGAAATTCCATGAAAATATATTGCAGACATTGCCTCGATTTGTTTTTTTGTGTACGAATATGAAAAAAAAAAGAAATATTTCAGGTAGAAAAATGTGCTCGACAACTTTCCACTTATTTCCTTTCCGCGACTACGCTCTTCGCATTTTCGCAGGAAAATAGCAGAATTGACGTACGAAAGCTGACACGAGAGCTGCGGTACGTACGCTGGCCGCAGTTCAATGTCAGCCGAAAACAATTGGTAGCCGTAATGAGATTGACCACCGCCGCCACCTGCATCGCCTGCACAAGCGTCGCGGCGTTGCGTTTCCGCATAGAACGTTTCTTGTAGAACGTCACCGCGACGAAACACTATTAGCCTGATTGAAAGTGCCAGGTGAAAATATTTGGCGTGTGATAATCAAACAAGTGCCTTCGTTAATGACGTGTTGCGGCGCTAACTGTTAAACGCAAGTGGAATACTCGAAGCCGCCGAAATAAAATCTCCATCCTACAATTAGCCGTCCCGATCAAATCACGCGGCGATAAATATTTACAAAACCGATCATCGCGAATACAATTCTGAATATTCCGCACGGGTGATCGTTCACTGCAACAGTTCATTCTTCACATTTCGAATCAACATGTTATATCTTTCATTATGAATGCCGATATTGGATATTATATCATAATATGACACCTGATATTTTAAGATCTAACAAATGAGAGCGTTAATTACGATAGAATTAATGAGTCAAAATTTCTTATTTTGCAATAATAACAACGTTTTCAAGTAAAATATCGAATTTCAGGTATTGAAACTTATTTTGCGTCGAGGTGGAAAAATTCATTACAAAAAACTTATTAACTAAAGTAGGGTCCGTTGGAAATTGAAGATGCGATGAGACGAGCACTTATTGCTCAGCGTACCGGGAATGATAATCGAATTTCCGAAAAGTGCGATTCCCTTATCAAGATTCTGTCACAAAAAAAATCGTGAAGAGGTACGAAAGTTAATAAGCGAAAAAGGAAAAGAAAGGACGAGACAATGGCAGGAGATGAGCGTAGTTTATAACTACGTGAAGTGGTGCAACGAGCGACTTCAACGAGAACGCGTATTACAGAAATCGATACTTGCAGTCGGGAAAATTTTACATGTACGCGTGTTCGGCTTTGTTGGGGCTAGAAAAAAATTCGACAAAAACTTGGAGCCGACGTATCGTCCGCGGGCATAATGCAATTTTCCCCAACGCTATGCGGCTCTCTCGTAACGACGTCTCTCTTAGAGACGAAAATAAACCTCTTGTTTAATGCAATTGTCGTCGGGTCGCTATCCTCGGAAGATTGACGGAGTTTTCCATGAGAAAGAAGCGAGTAACGACGGGAATAGACGTTTCTCTTAGACGCCTACGAGGGGAAAAAAAAGTAAGCTAACATGTTTCCAAAAAGAAAAGTGCAACGGGGTCAACTGATGCCGAGTTTCTTTTTCTTCTTCCTCGGACACTCGAGCGGCTTTCCCGCGTGCCTCAAACGCCCGCGGAAAAAAGCTCAACAGTGAGTGACGAAGATGAAGTGTACTTGCAACGACGGGGGGGCAACACCGTTGACAAAAAGGGTCGGTTTAATTCCTGCTATCGCGTTTTCTATTGCGAAAGCGGCATGAGTGCGAAACAACGAGTAAACGGAATTTTACTTTTATCCTTGCAGGTAACATGCACACACGTTCCGAGGATAAATATCCCAACGAGGACAGTGGCGGCGTTGCGTTATGCACAAAAGTGCAATTATCTCCAAGTTGCAGTAATCTTGCGATGTTTAGTAGCGCTGTTAAATATTGTTCCCTATTAAATTGCGTGAAATTAAAACGGAGGTTAATAAAGTCACGGCGTGGAGCTGCCATTCTTCGAGAAATTAAGACGGCGGATTCAATACGCGCAGTTTACAGTTATCCAATGTCGGAGACATTCCCGAAAGGATTTTTCCCCGCCTGATTAAGGTCCGAGTGACAAAGCGGACAAAAGGAGAACGCTGGAACGCGGCGTTTATGAGGTGATCGATCGTCGGTTTCTTACCTGGCGACTCCGGTGTTCCTCCCACACCTGTCGTTTCCGGAATCCAGCCTCGTCCATCCTCCGGAAGCGCGCCGGATCCGTAACAGATGAGATTGACGTTCTTGCAATTCCACCGACCGCGCGGTGTTTTAAAGCTTCCATCTGGCGTGATTCTCCGGGTGATCGCGATCAAAATTATTTTCCCCGCGCGTCTCTCCGACGGAATCCGCCGCACATTTTGTCCTGCGAGTCCGCGGGCACTTTTGCTCACTCACTCTCTGATATTTTCCCTTTTCATTTAACTAGTTGCTGTTTCGCCAGGCAGTCATTTCACCGAAAGAAACGCGTATCGCTTTGCATTGCAGATGCGCCGTGAATAGAATTGTTTATTCCGCAATCCATCCGCTGTCATTTCGTTGAAACATATTCTTTTTTTACGTCTTTTCAATCTTCCTTTCCTACCTTTAGAAATGCACGTTTGTCCGCCTTTTCTTCCTCAATAAAAACGTTCATTGCACGCCGCTCTGAGATCAGTCTTTTTTTAAGGTCTCTTTCTTCGAGAAAGGGCAAGCTGCGCGAAACAATACCTGTGTAAATTTCAACGACCATCGTAAAGAATTCCATATGATCCTTTAAATTCCATACTGTTTTATAAACTGAGCGCATCGCATTAAAACTTATTATTTAAGTGTTTAAACTATCTGAATAATTTGGAATCTACATAAGAGACAGATTAAACTCACTTATTTATAATTTACGTAATTATCTTGGGCTATCAAGGCTATTAGTAATGTATGCCCACACAGTTTTTCCACGCCTTGCTTTAATACGGTATATAAATACGTCCAATTATTCGCATCATGCAAGACACTTCTCTTATTGCGTCAGGCTTTCGTTACATATACAGTTATCAAGATACCAATTACTGCTGGTAATGTATACTTTACTTCTTTTTTCCAATATGGCAAAAAAATTCATCAAACTACTGGATTATGCAAGCTTCTTCGCGTATTTTCCATATCAATTTACGCTCAGAAATTTTTCATTTTGTTTTGACTCTGTCCTCCTCTTTCCCCGTCTACTTTACGCTGAGACACTTCACTCTTCGCGTTTTTATACGCGCGATAAAATCGAAGATTACGCGTTTCCTTTCTTTCCTCTCTTCATCGTGAAAGACAGGAAAACAAAAAGCAAATCTTTATCGGCCCGTCGAGACACGCCGGCCGTTTCATCGAAATATCGCAAGAGGCCGTTTAGGCGGCGCGGATTTAACTTTGCTCGTGTTCCTCAAGTCTCAAAGTCCCTTTTTTCCCTCATTCCGTATAAATTTCCCCGAGCGTCTTAACTGAATCACTCCAACGACGGAAACGTATTTAATTGCGAGTGGTCGAACAGCAATTAAATTCGTATTAGAAGCAAATCTGTCGAAATAGGTGCTCTGGTCGCGATTAAAGTTTTACTTCAATTAGCAACTGTAAATCGTGGGTTAGTTTAAAATTGTTTGGCACATTTCGCAAATATTATTTTTCAAAATACTGCCGTCAATTAATTGAAACGTGAAGCACAATTTGTTTAGCTGAAAACCTCTTTTCATACTCAAACGCTATTCATATGCGGATAATAACGACGTGTGTAGGGATTCGCGGGTCACAATGGCACCCTCCGTGCAACGAACCTCATGAGAAATTCACGGCTCGCAATGGATGCGACGATGAATAAGGTCGTGAACATCGTAACGTTTTCAGTGCTGTCATTTTGTAATTTATCTAGATATCCGCCGTTTCATCAAGACGGCTACTGCTTTCCGATAACGAAATATCGATCTGGAACGAGGAAACGACGAGCGACTCTAAGGAGAAGTCCTCAAAGCTACATTTTAATGCGTTACCTTTTCAAAAAGTTTACGATTTCTCATTCATCTCAAAAATATCTCTTCGATCTCATTTTATCCGAAACGAATACGCATTGTGTTGCCAAAAGCAATGTTGCAGTTCTTATTTCTCACGACAAGCTATGAAATTTGTACGTCTTCAATCTGAGAAACGACCATTCTACTCCGACTCGAAAAGCGAGAGTTTGCACAAAGAACATTTGAACGAAAGCGATGGAATTTTGCGATATCAATGAACAGCCAACGCGCGTGATCGACATTTTCGCGAGAAAAATTACACGTGACAAACTTTCTCAGACGTTTGGTCGGTACGTTTCCGCTTTGCTCGTCGAAAAACATCGAGCCATTTTTATTTCCACGTCGAACGGGCGAAATTGCCACAAAGCAGCCGAGGCAGTTCGGACAATCGTCGAGATGGCCGCAGGAAAGGACGCACTTCGAATTTGGGAGTAATGAAATTTATCGCTGCAACGTGACTGGAAGCAACAATCCACAGAAGTGCGCTTCTCGAAACAATTCTCGAGAATACGCGTAATTGTGAATTTCGCGAAATTTTAAATTCGCAATTTTATTATTTGCGTTGCACTGTTATTGCGCAATAAAAAAGAATGAGCAATTAAAGCTTTAAATCGATTTCCACTTCGCTCAAGTATTTTGTATGCGGCATAAAGTACAGGGTTAAAACAATGCTAATTAATTTGATTTAGACATTTTAATCCGTAGAGTCGAACTCGGATACTTAAAAAGAGAATTAATTATCGGCGCGATTAACGTGATGGTTCTTTGAAGATTCTTGGAAATTCATGATTTAGAAGAACAGAGAGTATATTGTAAAAAAAAAAATTAACGCCCACTTGGGATTATCTTAATGAACGCCACGTGTTGTCGTTTTAATAGAATCTAGAGACACGATTTGCAAAATTTAATCAACATTTAACAAGTTTTACGTTCCTTAAATATAAAAAATGTGCCGCTTTCTCATTTTATTGTAATAAATAGAAAGATAAAAACTTATACATTTTGACACGCGATAAAAATTAAATTTATTACAATATTAATTTCTAATAGTATATTTTTTGCGTAAAATAGAAAACGACAAATCATATTTTTTTCAGCGAGAAATTGAATAGCGCGGCAATGTTTTCCAAGGTACTATTTATCTAATTCATTTGTTAAAGCGTCTGCCTCGCGATCTGAGACCTTCATTTAAACAACAAATACGCGGACGAGACGAGAAGCGAAATTAATATTCGTACGTGTCTAAGTGGATGGCACACACGGGGATAGCGTCGGCGACTATAACGATAATTACGTGATTTTCAGAGCTCTAATATCTTTAACCTCGCTTCTTACATAGGTGGGCGCGCGGTTGGCCGCTGAAGTAGGCTCGAGACTCCGACACGTAGTCTCGTCTCGATGGGAAAAAAGATGCCAACGAGGAAGTACTGAGAAAAAGAGGAAAGTAGAAACCACTTATTACAGCACGATACGTCAGATTGCGCTGCGACGTGTCATGTTGGCGATGAATGATGATCATACTTTGTTCTACAACGAACATTTTAGTTCTTCGCAAAGCGACGACGTCCATTCGAATCTTGAGTGGATTTTTTTCAAAAATTTAACTCTTCAAAGAATTATTAATCGGCCTCACCGCTGCACACATTAATACTTAATCACGCTCGATTGTAAATATTTCATTCTTATTCCGCACATTAACATTCGCAGCCTATAAATCAATTATAAATAGCGAGCTATTATTTTTATTTCATTCGCGTAGTTTGGCAAATATTAATTAAACATGTAAATGAAAAATTAAAACTTAATTGCGCAACCTTCCACATACATGCACTAAATTCGAAGTGCGCAAATGACAAATTTTATATATGATAATTAGTTCGTATAAAGAGATTCGTAATGGAAAGAGACTGCCGACGCGGAATTCATGTTACTGGGTCAACTTAATGGAGAAATTACGGCTGTAATTTGGAAATTGCAATACAAATGGTCGACCGAGCAACGATTAACAATTAACGGAAGTATATCAACTGGAAGAAGCTGCAACCGCTAATCGTGACGGATTTATATCGCCAGATTATCTGCCTCGTACATCGCACCAATTTAACACTGATCCGATTTAAAGATCATTCCTTAACGATAACATAACGATATATTATCTGAGCGTCGCAATACAGATATCTGGATTGCCAAAATTTATCTTAGGAACAATAATGGATAAAATAGCGAATATTAAGTGACGAGTTTGCCCGAGGAACCCGGCCAAAAGTAAATCGACGGAAAGATAAACTTGGCATCGAAATGGGCCATGAAATTTGCCTTCTGAATGTCTCCGCGAAAAATATTTCGCGCATTTGCAGCGTGGTACGCGCTCCATCGAAATTCGATGGTTCGAGGACGTTAGAGCGCCAGGGAAAACAGATAAACTAGCCAGACAGACGCGGAAGCCGAGGTCAATGTCCTCGAAAAGGCGCGTATCGCAGGGTCGTATCGGAGATCCGCAGCTCGCATCCTCCCACAGAGAAAACTCGGACGTATAAAAACTCGAATAGAGGATCAGAAATAACGGCCACGTGCCGTTGTTTTGCGTAAACCAGCTCTTTTGTAAAAAGCAGATTAAAAAAGAAATGTATAACTTGAATTTGAAAAAAAACACAGGAACTGTACAAAGGTATTTCCCGTACGATGATCCTATGTATAAGTGCCAGTAAACCGTGGGTTTCGCACGTTCTTTGCTTTATTTACAAGATTTACAAAAATTCGCAGAATTTTCACTGCGTAAAAAGAAAACGTAAATCTTTCTTTACAAAGTATTGAACGTATGCGCTCGATTTTATCCGCAAATCTCCCATTAGCCGTATAAAAAAAAACATACACTTTAATAAGGAATGTGCAAATAAAAAAAAGAAAATAAAATCGAATACAATGGTAGACATTCCGGATTATTTCGGCGAACGCGGCGCGTACGCACTCGCGCTTACGACTCGTAAATGTGCACTAAATCCTCTTTACCTTGCGACGCACATCTCGCAATGGAGCTCCTCAGGACCCACCGAGAAAATTCATCGGCATTGTCCGGGACCTAACAGCGTGATGCACGTCGCAGAATCGCCAGAGGAGCGTCCTCGGGGTTGTCGACCCGGTGAAAAATTACGCGGCGGCTCCGGCAACTTCCCTCGCGGATTCCGCCGCTTCTCGGCAAGCGGCGTAACGAAGGTGTCAACGTGCCGGTAACACGCATGCACGCACACACAGACACATACTCACATTGGCACGCTACTTTTTTTTTTTTGCGTAAATGATACACGCGACCCGCTGTTCGTCCGCACACGCGAGTACAGTCTCGTAGAAACGTTCGTGC